AGCTTGCTTTCCTTTCCGAGGCTGCTCCCCATCTCTGCTCCATGCTGTTAGTCCCTGAGGGTGACCCCGACGCCTTCGACATCCCGACCCCTCGCACCTACGCTGAGGCGACCTCGGGACCTTGGGCCTCTCAGTGGATAGCTGCCATGGAGCAGGAGATGGCATCTTGGAGGTCCACCGGCACTTACGTCGACGCAGTTCCCCCGCCTGGGGTGAACGTAGTCGATGGTCGGTGGCTCTTCAACGTGAAGCGCCCCCCTGGAGAGCCGCCTGTGTTCAAGGTGCGCTACGTGGCCAGAGGTTTCAATCAGCGCGAGGGGGTTGACTTCTTCCAGACCTTCGCCCCGACCCCGAAGATGACCACTCTTCGGGCGCTGCTACACGTAGCAGCACAGCGTGACTACGAGCTTCACTCCCTCGACTTCTCTACTGCCTTTCTTCAGGGCAGCCTACACGAGCAGGTCTACCTGCGCCGACCACAGGGCTTCACTGGTACCTTCCCCCCTGGGACCCAATGGCTTCTCAGGCGCCCGGTCTACGGCCTGCGTCAGGCTCCCCGCGAGTGGCACGACACGCTGCGTGCCACGTTAGCAGACCTGCAGTTCTTTCCGTCCTCTGCTGACCCCTCACTGTTTGTGCGTTCCGGCCAGACTCCGTTCTACATCCTTGTCTACGTAGACGACCTGGTCTTCGCTACTACTGACAGGGACGCACTGGCCTCTGTGAAGGCTGAGCTGCTGAAGAGACACACCTGCACTGACCTTGGAGAGCTGCGTCGCTATCTTGGCCTGGATATCTCTATGGACAGAGCAGCACGCACCATCACTCTGACACAGTCACACTTGGTGCGTCAGGGCCTTCAGCGGTTCGGTCTTCAGTTCTCCTCCGCACAGCCCACACCTCTACCTGTAGACCATGGGCTCTCCGCTCCCGTTCCTGAGGAGCCAGTAGAGCTCAGTGGCCCCTACGCAGAGCTGGTGGGTTGCCTCATGTACCTGATGACTTGCACTCGCCCAGATCTCGCATACCCTCTCAGCATCCTGGCTCGCTTTGTGGCGACAGGCAGACACCGACCTCAGCACTGGTCTGCCGCTAAGATGGTTTTGCGTCATCTTGCTAGTACATTGGGCATGGGGTTAGTGCTTGGAGGACGCAGGCCAGTGGTCCTCACTGGGCACACTGACGCTTTTTGGGCAGACGACTCTGAGACTCTCAGGTCGTCTCAGGGCTACTGTTTTAGTCTTGGTTCGGGTGCTATCTCTTGGAGATCCACTCGCTCGTCGTCTGTTGCTCAGTCCAGCTGTGAGGCTGAGATCTACGCCGGTGCCATGGCGGCACAGGAGCTCCGCTGGCTTACCTTCTTGCTCACTGACTTAGGTGAGCGGCCTAGCTCTGCCCCGGTCCTGTACGCTGACAACAGGGCCATGATCCTCCTGTGTCAGGAGCCTTGGCTTGAGGGCAGAGCGAAGCACATCCAGCTGCGGTACTTCCTCCTGCGCGAGCTACAGCAGCGCTGTCAGGCCCGCGTAGTTCACTTGGCCTCTGGTGCCAACACTGCTGATATCTTTACGAAGGCGCTTGCGCCTAAAGATCATCAGCTGCACTGTGTACAGCTCGGTCTAGTTCCTGTAGCCTCTCACTTGCTAGGACCTTGACCTTGTACTGTCCTATATATATCTATATATGTACTCAGACTGGACTTGTGTCCAGGCCTCTGGATAGGATTTGGAGTAGTTTTTCATGTAAGGGTATGAATCCTCGACCACTTTTTCTGTAAGGGTGTTTTTTTTTTCGACTTTGTTTTATAAGGGTGCTAAAAAAAACTGCTTTTCCACATCAGGGTGTACAAACGCCATACTCATTCGTAACTGGATAAATTTGCTTAGTATTATAGATGTTGACATTGCAAAGCATAGCGCACTAATCCTGCACCATACCAAATACTACTACTGCGGCTACTGCTACTACTGCTGGTGATGCTGATGCTGGTGATGCCACTACTACTGCTGCTACTGCTGCAATTGCTGTTGCTGCTGCTGGAGAGGAGACCCTCTGCTGCCGGTGCTTTTAGTCGGCGGCCATGTCAAACTGGGTAGCAGGGCGGCGGTCCTTGATTGTTCGGAAAATGTCAACCATCTTCAGCCACTCCATGTCGCACTGCACGAGGGCCACTGTCATAAGGTCCTCGAGCTTCCCATCGCCCAAGCAGCTGCGCGTCCACGACTTGATGCGATTCTGGCGGCTGAAGCCCCTCTCGCACTCAACCGTGCTGAGGGGCAGCACGGCGACCGCCTGCCACAGCCGCACGATGTTGGGGTATGCTCCCTCGTAATCCGTGCTGTCCAGCATGAGCTTCATGGACTTGTGAAAGCCGAGATTCGCGTGGTTGGTGTTCATCGTGTGGAGGAAGAGATGCAGCTCTGACACGCAGGTCTTGAAGTTGACCCCTGGGAACTCATATGGGGGAAATGGGTAGGATACAGTATATGGGTGGAAGGGGGGGAGGAGGGGAGGGAGGACGCAATGGCAATAAGGTTTTAAAGTTTAGGGCGTGCAAGGCAGCAACAATGTGACAGCGAAGGAGGTTTACAATGGCATTAAGGTTTTGAAGTGTAAGACACTTACCGTAAAGCTTAAAATGGAAGAGCTTATCTAGCAGAGCCAACCACTCCCTGGCCTTTTTCATCAACGATGCCCAATCCTCGGGGTAAACGAGCGGCCGAAACAACTTCGCGCCGTTTAGATCCTGCAGGTCGTCCAGCCTGTGCTCCAGTCGTGCCTTTGCCTCCGCCGCATACTCCCTGCACAGCTTCACGCAGGTCGGGTAGTCCCCCTTGCCTTTCTGACCTTCCCACGGCTCCTCGCTTAGCGTGAAGGTATGCACAGTCGGAGCGTCTTCCTTGTCGACACCTTCGACTGTCACCTCTCGAAACTGGGGGTTGGCATGTGTTAGGATTAAGGACAGAGTCTAGGTGAACTTAGGAGCTAGAATTACTCAAAATATAAATCCGAAATTCTGGACAGAAAAGTCGTCTTCACAAGAAACGACGTCGACAAAACACTAGCCGTTGGAATGTCGCGAAACTTGGATATGTTGTAGCTCTTGATCTCAGCTACCGTTCCCAATTTGAATCACGTTGATTGATGAAGTATTCGCGACGCTATGGCTTTCGACGCACTAGGGGGTAAGCTGTAGGAGGAGAACTTAACTCAATCTCAAGAGTTCAATCAAAGTTCAAGAATCTCACAAGGAATTAGAAGGAGCAAGAGAAAGGTTGGGATAGGAAGAGAGGGATGAGAGGGAAGGTCCCAAGAGAGTCCCCAACCAAGGAAACCCCATAAGCACAAAGATTCCCTCCCTATAGGAACCCCAACTTTGACATTTGTCCCTTCCCAACCAATCCATCCAAGTTGGCCACCCTTGCCAACCTAGCTTGGTTGTTCCCAACCAATTTGCAGCTGTTACAGTGAGTGACAAATTTCCCAAACCCCCAAAGGTCCCAACTCCATATAGAGTCACCCCACAACTTCACTTTGTAACCGCCGCAATTGTAACGCAAGCTCATGAACTTTGAATCTTCATAGCTTTCGCGTTCTTGCTCCGATTGAAGGGATTCTCGTTGCGTCGGAAAGATCTTCTCAAGATCTATCATCACAAAAAACCTGCTCAAACAAAATAACACAAAACACATTCCCAAACTCCAGAACACATCACACACAAATTCTTGCACACGTTCAAACCACACATGCAAGTTGAAAAAATATGGGATGGGAGGCAGACAGAATGTGATAGCATATGATGACATCACACAACAATCTCCCCCTCTGGCTGCCAACCATCATCCACCATACCAACATCTCAAGCATGCATACTCAATGCACACTCATCCCAGCAAGCTTCATGCCCTTCCAATGATCCGCCTCCGCCAGACGCTTGGTGAAAATATCTGCTGCCTGCTGATGGGTCTTCACTATCTCCAGCCGCACCTCCTTATCAAGGAGTCTCCTCACCCAATGCCACTTAGGCCTTATGTGTTTTGTCAGCCCATGCAGACAAGCATTCTTGGCGAGCTTCACAGCGGACTCATTGTCACAAAACACAACTGTCGGCTTCTCCTGACCAACTCCCAACTCCTCCAACAAACGCCTTAGCCACACTACTTCCTTGGCCCCATGGTGTAAGGCCATGTACTCAGTCTCACATGAGGACAATCCCACCTCATTCTGCTTCTTGCTGCGCCAGCTCACAGCACCACCTCCTAGCAAGCACACATAACCCCCAATGCTGGTGCCATCCGCTTTCACTGAGTTGAAGCTAGCGTCAGTATAGCAACTCAAGAGCATCTCTCCACTCTTCACATCTGCAGCACCTCTCTGCAACCGCTGCCTCACTCCACTGTACTCCAATCCCACTGATGCCGTAGCACTCACATAGCGGACCAACCTCTTGGCCGCTTCCAGCTGCTCATGACTAGGGCGTGAGACCACACTAGCCAATCGTGATGTAGCAAATGCAATGTCAGGCCGTGTATGATTTGCAGCATAATTCAGCGACCCAACCATCGAATGAAACAGCTTCCTGTCACTATCACCCACTACCTCCTCATCAGCACATGGCTCCACAGTAAACCCTGAAGGTAGTGGTGTTGCTGGCTTTCCCCCATCTTGCAGCCCATACTTCTCAGCCAGCCCCTCACAGTACTTCCTCTGGTGCAACCTCAGCACACCCTTTTCCACATCTCTCTCCACGTGCATCCCCAAGTAGTACTTCACCTCACCCATCTTGGAGCACTTGAACTGCATCTCCAGCATCTGCTCTGCGCTGTCCAGCAAAGCAGTTGATGCAGAAAAGAGAAGGATATCATCCACATACACCAAGAGCATGAGGATTTCATCCTTCTCCTGCAGCAGGAACAGGCTGGGGTCACACTCACTCTTCTTGAAACCCCCAGCCAACAGCGCCTCCTCCAACTTGTGATACCATGCACGAGGCGCCTGCTTAAGGCCATAGATGGCCTTCTTCAGCCTGCAGACCCTGCCGCTCCCATCATCCAGCCCCTCTGGCTGCTTCATGTACACCTCCTCCATAATGATCCCATTCAGAAAAGCAGTCACAATGTCCATCTGCCGTATCTTCCATCCCAGGAGTGCAGCTATCGCTAACAGCACCCTCAGTGTTGTTCCTTTCCCCACAGGAGCAAACACCTCATCATAGTCCTTCCCTTTTGTCTGCTGAAACCCCCGTGCCACAAGCCTAGACTTGTAGCGGGTCAGCTCCCCTTCAGGTCCATACTTGTGCCTGTAGATCATCTTGGAAGTGATTGCCTTCTTTCCAGGAGGCAAGTCACACAGGTCCCATGTCTCGTTCTCAATTAGGGACCCGAACTCCTCATCCTCACTCGCCTTCCACTTCTCCCCATTTGGTCCATTCAAGGCCTCTTCTCGAGTCTTGGGCTCAGGGATTGGTGCCCAGTAGCAGTGAGCGATCTCATCTTCCTCAATCTGCTCAACCACACTCCCAGCCTGCACCACATTCGGCTTGCCTCTTCCCCCATAGGTCAGCCTCACTGGAGGGCGCACATCCCTCCTAGGACGCTCAGGCGGGTGTGGAACTCGAGGTGGAGACTCATGCTGCTGCTGCTGCTGCTGCTCTACTTCAGCTGCTCCCCCTTCCTCAGTCACCCCAGACATCTCCTCCTCTGACACTGCAACCTCCACCTGTCTTGAAGGCTGCTGCACCTCATCTGCCTCCACAATGAGCGGTGTAGATGGAAGCTTCTGTTGCTGCTGCTTCCATTCCTTGTAGTACAGGGACTCAAGAAACTTCACATCCCTTGACACTGTCAGCTTCTGGGTGGTCAAGTCCCATAGCAGCCATCCCTTGTGATCCTTTGCAATCCCCAAGTGCACACCCCATCTTCCAGAAGCCTCCAACTTCCCTCTTTTCTCCTTAGGCACATGAAACACTACCATGCACCCAAATGCCCTCAGCATGTTCACAGCTGGAGCACTCCCATACCACTTGATATATGGGATCCACTCCTTATCTCCAACTGTAGCCAGCACCCTGTTCTTCACAAGGGCGACCTGCCTCAGTGCAGACACCCAAAACGGATCAGGTAGCCCTGCACGCCCAAGGAGAGTGCGTGCCCCCTCCTGCAGGGTCCTGTTGAACCTCTCAGCCACGCCATTCTGCTGCGGATTGTAGGGCACTGTCAGTTGATGCTGGATCCCCTTCCTCTTCAACTCCCCCTCAAAATCAGCTCCAATGAACTCCCCACCATTGTCACTGCGGATCACCTTCACCTTGTGTCCGCATTCCCTCTGAGCTCTAGGCATCCACTCCTTAAGGACAGCCGCTGCCACCTCCCCCTTGCTGTTCAAAGGGTAAACCCACACTGCCCGAGTGTGGTCATCCACAATTGTCAAGAAATAGCGGCTGCCTGAGAGGGAAGGGGCTCTTGTGGGCCCCACCACATCCATGTGCACAAGTGCAAGTGGGGTCTTGGCTGGTCCTGTTGCACTGTTGAAGGGGAACTTGGAGAACTTGGTCTCCAAGCATGTAGGGCAGCTCCCAATCTCCTTCACTTCCCCTTTCACCTCCAAGCCCTTCAGGCTCCCATTCTTCACCAACTTCTGCAGCATAGGGAAGTTCACATGACACAACCTCTCATGCCATGTCTCCCAATCGGCCTCTCCACTCCTTGATGAAGCCTTAGCCCATGCCGCACTCGCATCCACACCAGCAAGCACCTCACCATGTGTCTGCTGCTTCTGCACTTTCTTGACTGCTTCCAGGACCCCATCAGTTGGTGCAGTTGCATCTCCTCCTGCTGTTGCCTTTGCCACTGCTGCCGTTGCTGCTGTTGGAGTCTTCCCATTCCAAGGGATGATGGGCAGCTGCCACAGGTCCTTGATGCAGCTGGTCTCCTCTTCCAGACTCCACAGCACCTTCTTCCCAAGCTTAGCACGGCAGCTGGTTGGTCCAAAGGTCACTTCGGCCTTACTCTTCTGCAGCCGCCGCACAGAGAGAAGGTTAGCAGACAAGCCTTTAACCAGCAGAACATTCCCAAGCCCCACAAGCTCCCCATTAGCTCCCTTAACCTTGGCATTCCCAACACCAATAACGGGGAGCAAAGCACCTGACGCTGCTGCCACATACTTGATCTTCCCAGGGGGTTTTACCTCATCAAGCAAATCTGCCCGTGGGGTCATGTGACTGGTGCAACCCGAATCAATCACCCAGTGCGTGAGAGGGTGCATCACAACCTTTCCGACAGATCCCACATCACCCTCATGCCCATGCACATCCTCAACCATGAGATACATCCCAGGATAGGCGTTACCTTGTGCACCTTCATCTTGCACAGCGCCACCTTGTGCGCGTTCACCACTTGGCGGCTTCATGCCTGGAGGTGCCCATCCCTCCGGCCTGCTGAAGCACTTGAACCAAGGATGCCCGACCTTCTTGCAGTACCAGCAGGTGCCCTCCATTCTGGTACTCCCCCTGCCACTGGAGCTCCCATGCCCCTCATTATAGTCACCTCGGCCTCTACCTCTGCCAAAGCTCCTCCCACGGCCTCGGCCTCTCCAACCCCCTCTTCCTCTGCCGCGCCCTGCAGCTCCATACCCCTCAGCAGTCTTAGTGGCAGCACCGCCTCCCACATGGCGTCTGCGGAAGTCCTCCTGCAGAATCTGCTGCCTTAGCCACTCAGGTGTCCATTGATCTTGCTGAGAGTTGAGGGTGGGGATGAGGTTGTCCCAAGAGTTGTCCAACACCGAGATGATCTTGGTGCACTGCTGCAGCTGAGATACACTGCTGCCCGCTGCTGCCATCCTTGCATAGGTGTCCTTGATCTTGTCAAGGACCGGCTTCACATCGTCCCCTGGTCGCATGGAGATGGCAGCAAGTTCCTTCTCGAGCACGATCACCATCAGGAGAGTGTTGGGCTGAATCACATCGCGTAGTAGTTTCCACGCCCTTGGACCCGAATCATCCGCTTCCACAAGATCCTTGATGTGCTCGAACATCTCCTTGTTGACCGATTGAAGGATGAGGTCGAAAAGCACCGTGCTTTTCTCAATCCACCGTTCACGTGCTTCGCCTTCTTCCGGCATCTTCTCTTCCCCAACAGCAATCTTCAGTAGCTTGTAGCGTTTGAAGGCACTCCTCATCCGTCCGCTCCATTCCTCATAGTTGGAGCCATCCAAAGCTTCAACTTTTGATGGCGGCGGCTCACTTGTCTTCTCAGGTACAGCTCCTCTTCCATTAGCATCTCCTCCTCTCTCATTCATCTTCTCCTTGAGAAATGACGAATTTCAGCTCCCCTTTGCTGTCCACACTCAGCTCCCTCGATATTTTCACAAGTGTCGGCGTCCACGAAATTTCGGCAGAGTTTCCCCTTAGCGGAAGACACATCCAACCTTTAGAACACCACTTAGGCACACCCACAGGCCATGGTGGGTCTAGAAGGGTCTTCAAACTTCTGTAGACTCCTCTCAATGTCCTTAATATTGCTCTGATACCACTTGTTAGGATTAAGGACAGAGTCTAGGTGAACTTAGGAGCTAGAATTACTCAAAATATAAATCCGAAATTCTGGACAGAAAAGTCGTCTTCACAAGAAACGACGTCGACAAAACACTAGCCGTTGGAATGTCGCGAAACTTGGATATGTTGTAGCTCTTGATCTCAGCTACCGTTCCCAATTTGAATCACGTTGATTGATGAAGTATTCGCGACGCTATGGCTTTCGACGCACTAGGGGGTAAGCTGTAGGAGGAGAACTTAACTCAATCTCAAGGGTTCAATCAAAGTTCAAGAATCTCACAAGGAATTAGAAGGAGCAAGAGAAAGGTTGGGATAGGAAGAGAGGGATGAGAGGGAAGGTCCCAAGAGAGTCCCCAACCAAGGAAACCCCATAAGCACAAAGATTCCCTCCCTATAGGAACCCCAACTTTGACATTTGTCCCTTCCCAACCAATCCATCCAAGTTGGCCACCCTTGCCAACCTAGCTTGGTTGTTCCCAACCAATTTGCAGCTGTTACAGTGAGTGACAAATTTCCCAAACCCCCAAAGGTCCCAACTCCATATAGAGTCACCCCACAACTTCACTTTGTAACCGCCGCAATTGTAACGCAAGCTCATGAACTTTGAATCTTCATAGCTTTCGCGTTCTTGCTCCGATTGAAGGGATTCTCGTTGCGTCGGAAAGATCTTCTCAAGATCTATCATCACAAAAAACCTGCTCAAACAAAATAACACAAAACACATTCCCAAACTCCAGAACACATCACACACAAATTCTTGCACACGTTCAAACCACACATGCAAGTTGAAAAAATATGGGATGGGAGGCAGACAGAATGTGATAGCATATGATGACATCACACAACAGCATGCTCCTTCAAAAAATTCTTCAGAAGCGGTGAGTCCCTGCCGAAAGCGTTTTCGCAGTCGATGTAGCGAACGTCAATCTTTCTGCACACTAGGTTGACCTCGCCAGCGACCAGTGTAATGTCCACCTGAGGTCGTGCATAAAGCAGAGAAATAACAAAAATTAGGGCCTGCAGTTAAACAAACACAACGTCACTGCCGTCAGAAACCTCACCTGCTTCTTCTGAAACTTCGCGTTGAGGTCGTTGAGGACCTCGAGCAAATCTGCCAGGAAGTACACAAGGAAGTGAAACTTGAAACTCTTCACAAGTCCGTATAGCTCGTGCTGATACTCGTGCAGAAGCACGACTACAGCCGGCAACAGCTGCGCGAACCGCTTCACCGCGCTCCCCCGTGAAAGCCAGCGGACGTCATATATTCCCTGGAGCTCCAGATTCGTGTCACACAGCTCTTCCTGCAGCTTCTTGAAGCGCCTGTGCCAGATCCCGCTCCTTGACAGCAGTTCAGAGACGGTTCTGATGACCTGGTCGATGACGGAGAAGTCTCTAACCTTTGCTGCCGCGTCTTTGGCTGCCAGAGACTCACTGGTAGGGAGGGGGGAGGGAACACATAGACACACACCAGGTGTGTGACAGTAGAACGTGACATCGCATGCGATTTGGGAACCAACAACCGAAAGACAACCTGTCAAACACCAAACACCGGAGTCAACTCACCGATGGGCGATGCAGTGGCATGACACTAGGTGCCGAATCTTAACACGCAACCGTGCGACGACGCCCTTGTGCTCGCCTACCATGACAGACGCGCCGTCCGTACTTATCCCGACGATCTTCTCCATGTCGATTCCGACCGATCGCATGTAAGTCTCCAGAACTTCAGTGAGGCTTGCTGCATCACATTTTTGCACGGTGAGGAGCGTCAGGAACTCGGTACGCACATAGCCATCCTTGATATAAGTCACATATACTATTAGATGCTTCCCTCTGACACGGTCCGTGCTCTCGTCAATAGCGATGCCGAGATAGGGGCTGCTTGCGATGTTCTTTAGCTGCTCTTCTCGTAGGTACTTTGATGCGGCCTCGACCAACTCGTTGAATCCGTATCTGCCAAGCATACACACGATGAAACAAGAGAGTAGTCATAGATGTTGCAACTCATGGACCAATAATATGGTCACTCGGTACTTGAAAACAATGCACTAAGATTCGAATTCGTAGTTTCTCACTCTGAAAAGTAGGCGCCCTTCTGATCCAGAGGGAGGTTGGGCGTCTGCACTGAAGCCATGAACTTGATGAAGCCGACGTAGGATGTTATCGGCGCCTCCGATTGGCACGTGTACACCGCCGTCTTCATGGCGGTGATGAGATGTAGCGTGCTTTTGTCGAGGCCCTCGTACTCGTTTAGGAGTGTTTGCCGCAACATCCTCGACTGCTTAGCCTTCATTAGACGGTAGGCGTCGCGGTGGGCGTTGGACCGCTGGTGAGTCTGGATGCTGTTCTTCTGCATGTCACGCCCGCCGCAACCGTCCTTGCCGTACTTGGTGTCCGCACCTGAAACTCCGTGCTCGAGGCAAGTGCTGCAGCGCAATACAGGGAAACCATCGTCAGCACGGTCGAGGACAAGCCAAGGGAACAAACTCTCCCAAGAAGACTTAAAACGTCGGTGCGCTTTTGCAAAAGCAGCATGTGGATCTTTGGAAGCCTCTTCGTCGGTGGGTTCGTGATCCTCGTCATCATCGTCACCGGCGACGTCGTCGGGTTCCTCAACAGGCGTTTTGTCCGTTGACCGAGCGAAGGGTAGATGTTGCTGCCGCCACTTCTGCGGCAGGCTGCTCGCTTTCCGCTTCGCGGAAGACGACGTCAAGCCCACAGCAGTTGGGGATGGGGCAGGAGAACCCCCAGAGGCAGAAACCGGTAGAGCAGCGGGAGATGGGGGTGTACGCTCAGGGACATCCGCTATGGGTTCGGTCACAGGAGGCGACCCAACGCAAGGGGAGGTTGGAGGTGGGAACGGCTGAGCGACTGTGATTGGTGCGCGACGGAGGAAACTAAGGGCTGATCGCGGAGGGGATAGCGGGCGTTTCCGCCCACCATCCTCCTCCTCATCGCCGTCGTCGGGGTCCATGGCTATCGTCGAGGTGAGAGGAATATGGTAAGGAAGCGGGTGAGAGATACAAACACAGAGCAGATTGTATCTCGGTGCTCTCAAGAATAGCTTGGAAGAGACAAATGAAGAAGAACTGGTGCCCCGAACAGAGGAGAAGGGGATCGACAGTTGTGCCCCCTTCTTTCCACCAATCATGTCATTTGCCTGCAGAACAGGTCACCGCAGGACCATTGCTGCCGCGCTGTCCATGCGCGCTCCGACCCCTGACGCTGATTGGTTTGTCTTTTCCTAGAAGGCCACACACTTTGACTCGCTGGAGCAGTCTCGTCGACGCGCGCCAGCATAGAGCAATAATGGCGCTGATTGCGGCATGACTCGGGGGAATATTCTTGCCCCCAAACGGGGGGGCTACATGTAGAATCACATCAGGGTATTTTGTAAAGGCACTTTTTCGCATAAGGGTGCGAACGATACACCACTTTTGAAAATCAGGGTCCCGTACAAACGTAGTTTTTTTCATAAGGGTCCAAAACTAAAGCACTTTTAAAAATAAGGGTCCAACACCAACCCCAGCCTTATAGTAAGGGCCGTAAGGGTATTTTACCCTGATATCCTGAGGCCTGCTTGTGTCCTCTCCCAGTGGCCGGACTAGTAGTGCCGCCTTGGTCTTGTTCTTGTTTTGTCTGTACTCCTTTTGACTGGTCTTTAGACCCTTGTCTCAGTGGCTGGACTAGTAGTGCCGCCCTGAGGCTGCTTGTTCAGGACTTGCCCCTATGCAGTGTAGGGGGTGTGTCAAACATGTATATCTCTAATGTTTGTAGAGACTGTATAGGGTCACCTCTTAGAGGGTACAACACTTAGGTATATTCACCTGTACCCTCCTATGCTAATCATTCAGTTTTCTTTCTAACATGCTCTAGACATGCGGTGCGTTACGGTTCATCGCTTCCAACATGTGCAATTCAACACAGCAAGACTGGCAATCAAGTCCCTTTTTATCTGGCGAGCCTATATGCACATCCAATCGGTAGACACATGCGCAACGTGACGTCGCTACAAGCCCAAGCTGATCCTGGCGTTCTAGGTTGCCCGCCAGGATCAGCTCCGTTTTCCTGATCCTGATCCTAATCCTGGACAGTAGGAATATGCCCTCAACGTACCCTGAAGTGAATCTTAGGTCCCGCCCCCCACCATCCAACATTGGTCACAGGTGGAAGAGGCAGGAAGTAGTTTGAGAGGTACAGAGACCAAGGGGAGATGGGAGGAAGCGGTGAGAGAGAGAGGGCCTGAGAGAAGGGAGGAGGAGGAGGAGAAAGGAGGAGAGAAGAACTGTGTGGATGGTGGAGACCCAGGGGGGGTGAGGCGAGAGGAACATGCCTGCAGGTAAAAGGAACGGGGAGGATCGGAAGAACGGAAGTAATGAGACGACACTGCTCACGAGAAGACGGGAGTATATGCCCAGCAGTACACAGGAAAACAAGTGTCTTCGGCCATAAAGAAGTAACACAAGAGACAACAAAGCATGGGATGAGATAGGATGGCATGGGATTGAGATAGCATGGCATGGGATGAGATAGCATTGTATGGGATGAGATAGCATGGCTGGGATGAGATAGCATGGCATGGGATGAGATAGCATGGCATGGGATTGAGATGGCATGGCGTGGGATGAGACAGCATGGCATGGGATGAGATAACATGGCGTGGGATGAGATAGCATGGCATGGGATGAGATAGCATGGCATGGGATGAGATAGCATGCCATGGGATGAGATAGCATGGCATGGGATGAGATAGCATGGCATGGGATGAGATAGCATGGCATGGGATGAGATAGCATGGCATGGGATGAGATAGCATGGCATGGGATTGAGATAGCATGGCGTGGGATGAGACAGCATGGCATGGGATGAGATAACATGGCGTGGGATGAGATAGCATGGCATGGGATGAGATAGCATGGCATGGGATGAGATAGCATGGCATGGGATGAGATAGCATGGCATGGGATGAGACGGCAAGGCATGCACTACAATGAAAGCGCGACGAGTCTGTATGTCATTAGCGCGTCGAGCCCCAGAAAAAAGGTGGGAAACCAGGAGAACATTTGACGGCTAACTAATCTTAATACATTTGGGAACTTTAATCCGGTGGCGAAGGAATTGGGCAACGACTGAAACAGATACCAGCTAAACAAATATATATCCGCGACATCAACCCTATGTTACGCGTGCAAGTAAAGCAAAACATTAACAGTGTCATTACTTAAAAAGGGGACGAACAAACTCTACAAAATGAGCTGATAGAAAAAAACGGGTATAACATTTTTAAACCTTTTACATGCATGCGGGTACAGCATGCGAAACCAGCACTAGTGACATTAGATGGCACGGCGTGGTGAGAGACACTTACCCTGGCAGAACTTGAGTGAGACGAGAATCTCGGAGACGCAGAGCAGCAGAGCGAGGATGAGGAAGGACATGCCTCTGCTGGTGCCAGGGCAGGGAATGGGGGTGTTCGCAAAAGGTGGTTAAAGCTGGGGACATGAGACCAGGAAAGTGGAAGTTTTATAGTCGAAGTCAGCATACAACAGCAGGAGCATACCGCCTGGTATCTCAAACAGCAAGGTTTCACTGTAGCAAATGGTCCCTTGCGGCTGGCATACTTTGCGGCTGGCATCTGTGTTTATCTATTGCCATCGACTGCCATCCCACCACCCAGCTCACCTATCCTCCTGCCTTTGCTGCTCCCCTCCACTCCTCCGCTCCCCATTCTCCCCCCTTTCATCCCTCTCTCTCCCTGCACCAGAGGCAGAGGGGCACGCCACAGCGATGCGGGGGGAGTGCAGCAGGGAGTGCAGGCAGTGCGCGGCGGGGACGGAGAGACCGGCCCAGAGGCAGAGGCGGAGGGGATTGAAGGGGTGCAGGGGGTGCAGAGCGAGGCAGTGCTTGAGGAAGAAGGCGCACAGGTCCGCTGCTAGCACCAGCAGGAACAGAAGCCCTGCCTGCAGGACGTGGGGCCGAGGAGGGGGAGGGGGGGGGAGAAGAGGGGAGGGTGGGAGTGAGAAAGAGGGTCTGGTTGAGTGAGACACAGGGAAGGGACAGATACACAAAGAGTGCTCTGAAAAGCTGCCAGAGACGAGGCAGGTGGACGAAGATAGGAGTAGGAGGCATGAGTGTGAAAAGACAGAAACGTGGTGTGCATGAATGGGATGGGATGGGATGGGATGGGATGGGATGGGATGGGGTGGGGTGCAGTGAAGCACGGACCAGAAGGGACTGGCGTGTGGCGGCGAGGAGATGGGGAAAGGATGGGGAGCTGTAGGTGAGGAGAGATGAGATGCCAGCGAACCAATCAAAACGCGGCATGTGGCACACTCGGAGAAGCCAGAGGCCCACTTCCATGCCTGTGAAGGGAGGGTGGTGTAAGGAGAGAGAGGGGAGGAGAGGAGGAAACGAGCAAACAAGAGAGACGTTTGTAAGAATGAGAGCAG